GGAGAAATCTCAATTGCAAATTAAATTGTTATTGATTACAAATAAAACATGAAAAGACTGGAATATATTTTTGCAAGTAAAATAATTGATGATTAAAAATTGTCAAAATTTAATGATAAATGAATTTTTTGATGGTTCTAATTATCGATTTTTGCAAAGTTTCAATGAATGGTTTGAAATTTTATGGTTTGGTAAAATTTTTAAAATTTTAAGATTTCGATAAATTTCTCGAAATTTTAAGATTTTGATAAATTTCACTAAAAAATTTTGTAATTTTTACCTTTTTTTTTTTTTTTTTTTTTTTAATACAGAATTATAATTCAAGAATTATTACATTTCAGTTTGCGCCATATCTGCTTCATTTGCTATTAGCCGTTGCCGTTGCCGCTTATGTTCTCCTGGGAGCATTAGCAATTCGACAGCTTGAAGCTATTGCTATAAATCGAAATTCGACGGTTCAATTCTATTATATATCAAAATTAGCATCATTTCAAATATTCTCACATATTTCAAAATTAAATTGTATATTTAAAAAATTTTACAGTGTGCTATTTTCAACCAGTCATCATTTTTATTCATTTCATAATCAATGAAATTAAATAATTGTCATCATAAATTTTGTCATTCTTATTTCCTAAAAATTTTAATTAAATAATTTAAATGATATTTTTGTATTAAAAAAAGTTTTTGTATAAAAAGAGTAAAAGCAAAAAAAAAAAGGATTATCAATGCCTAATTTTTTATCATATTTTTAGATGCCTATCAAAAATGGTAACATATATCGTGGTGATGATAATCGAATTAAAATGAGTCCTACAGATCAAAACAAAGATGATAATTGTATGTTTTTAATTATCCTTTTTTCTTTTTTTTTTTCAAAAAATTTTGAATAAATAATCTTTTAAATAAATAAGTTTTATTTTGTATTTCTAATATGACAAATTTTCAACAAAAATAGGATGAAAATGAAAATTTTAAATTTCAATTAATTATAAAGTATTCAAAAAATTTTTAAAAATAATTTCTATACACCTATCCCTTACAAGTAGAATGGAATTTTAAATCGAAAAAATTTTTTCAAAATATATGTTAATCATTTCTAGTTTTATTATTTAATTAATAACGAAATATTTAATTGA